TAATGTAAAATTATTTTGATATTTAAACTTTATCGATCATATATTTATCAAAGCTGCACTTCAACGTTTCCAACAAATTTTAAATCGTTTAAAACGAATATTTGTAACTTAAAATATTGAATCAAACGTATAAAAAAAAAGTTAGCCGAGCTGAGCCATAAAGCCATTTGGTTCGCTGTAAACAAAACTAATCAAAGAAAAGAAATTTAGCCGAGTCGAGCCATAAAGCAGTTTGGCTCGACTCAGCTCAGCTCGTATAACGACTTATGAATAGAAAAGGCAAACTGCCTCTTTTATTTATGGTAGACATAGCCATTGTTGGTAGGGACGACAATTCGAACTGTTAAAACTAAAAATCGCAGTTAATCGAATCGAATGGGGCGAAAAAAAATCGAACTGATGGTGCAATTGGGTTGTTATGATTTTGATTTTAATGACCCAATACTGGGTGGGACGGGTATGGTATTTAACGACGGTGCCCCGCCCCGAACCAATTACCCTTTAAAAAAAACTAATTGGCCAATTGAACTTTCCATTATTCTTTCCCAAAATTAATTGGGCAATTTTGACAATTGGGCTTCCCCAAAATTCTGGTCCAATTAACATTACTAGTAAATCATTAACTCAATAACAAACTCTAATCTACACGTTAAAATTGAAAATTGGAAATCAAACTTACAAAACACTCTTCCACTCAACTAATGAACCAAATCAGATTCGCCAACACTCTGCTACCTGTACCTCAGTTTCAAATTGTAGTAATCAGCAACGAAGTCAACCATCTTGTGAGCACACTCACTGAGTTGTTCTGCCTCCATTGTCTTCAAATCATCTTCCTTGTACAATTCAACAAAACTCAAATACATTATACCTGATTGCATTTTCTTTATAATATTATTTAAATATATGATGCGTGGCCCGGAAAATGTGTTTTTTAGTCTGTTTTGCTTGTTAGTTTATGTATTCTTCAGTTTCTCAATATTAATAAGAAATAGAGAGTCGAATTATTAATTTGGTTACAGAACTAATGTGGCTTTTTGTTGATTTTATTAATGAAATTCCAAATTTTAACATATATTTTGGGTTATATTGTTTGCGAGAGTTTGGTGATTTTACCAATCCAGTAGGGAAGAATTATTTTTTTATTTCTGCTTTTATTCTTCATATACCTGTCGAGCAATTTTTATTTTTATAGTTATTGTCATTTGCATTTNATTTGTGCAGTTGATATTTCTTTTAAAATAGTGATTTAAAATACTATAAATACATTCAAATTGATTGCATTTTTACCATAACCATGTCTGAAACCTCAATTGATGTGTTTTATTTTCATGTAATTAGATGTCTTGCCATGGGTTGGCGTCATCTGTTCCGACTCCTCCCGCTTCAATTGGAAGTGCTACAGTTGAAGTTGGAGATACCGCTACTGGCATTCGAGAGGATGCATAAAGTACATTGGGTACTTCACAAAATCCAAGTGAAGTAAATGCAAATCCTACTCATATAGATTTAGGCGATGATATTATTTGTTAAATTTGTATTTTGCATTTGGAAATTGGGATATTATTTGCATTTTCATT